TCTGTGTCAGTCTGATTGTAAAGAGAATGACTCTGTGTAGCAGTCTTACCCTGTGCTGTTCCTTCTCGTCACTCTAACTGATCTCTGTTGTCTGCACTATCTGGGTACTAAAGTCAGATGGTAGCAAGGCTGGCAGAGCTCATACTCTGGTTTGGTGGAATCAAAGTTTAGAACTTGAAGTTGGCTGCAGAGTAGATATGCAGGTTTGCTTGGAACCCAGAGAATCAGGAAGCACATCTAGCATTCTAGTTAAGGGTAATGACATAAAATAAAAGTCTACATGAAATTATGAGAACTTTTACATTTATTAAAGCATGAACGTGTTACAACCGCCTCGACCAGCAAGGAAGACGCAACACAGGATCTTCTTTCAGCAGTTTATTCAGGAACCTTGAACATTCTTCGAATACCCAGGGAAAGCCAACCCACAGCTAAAGTAGCCCCTGGTCAGCCAGCCCCAGCAAGCTACGTGGGAAATGCGGATAGGTCTAGGTACATGAAAGCAAGCCACATTCTCAGTGTAGGCCATATATGGAATGGTCTGTAACTTAGATCACCTTATCAGTCTTAGCCATGATGTATGGGATAGTATGTGACTTAGAGCACATTATTATGAGGGGGTGATGGGCAGAAACCAGCTCTCCACAGTTCCCCCTTTTTTTGTTTTAACGCTACAGGTAAGAGTAGTGGCCTGCTCTCTGTGAACCAAGAGCCTTGCACTGATTCTCCCTGAGTGTCTTCCACGCAGAGAGTACCAGATCAGCTCGATGCCATTTTCCAGAGGTGGGGTCTTGGGCATCAACCCACATGCAGCAGGCATGCTCTTCTCAAGGTTGGTGGACAGCCATCCTTGAGTGCAGTGCCTTGTCTCGCACCCTGAATGCGTCAAATTAATGTTTCATGGTAGCTAACCATACATGGGGAGATTGGCCAGCCTCTAGGGCTGCAAAGTCTTGAATGAATATGGCTGCATCGCGACTCTGAGAGCCTCTAATCCTACAAATACACCACAGACAAGCCAGGGAGACTATCACCATGAGACCAGCTTAGCTCCTAAACCCGCCCATTCCTTCAAATGGTTCATCGCTGCTGAGATCCAGGTAGAAAGTCCTTCAGCCATTCCGGCATCCACCCGGGTAGAATTCACGGTGACAATGGCTACCCTGAGCTGTTCCATCATGGCATCAAATTCTACAGTCCAAACCTAAAAGATAACTAGATAATTGTTTAGATAAATTTGCAGCATGGGTAAAATTCTCGTATTGTATGCTAGTCACACAAAGCCCTGCATATTTCCATTGGCAGCCCAGTTGAGCCAATTGTCAAAGAACATCAATTTGCTCCTGTACCAAATCAATTCTTTGATTAATTACCATCAATCCTCCTTTTAATTATGCATTAATACCTTTTTGAACATCCAGGGCCAATGCAACATTGGCTGAAAGATTATTCAAAGTCTGCAGCAGTCTGCACAGTATGGCTCATGGCAATAGCTGCCGTGTTAGCTCCAGCCGCCGCCAAGGAAATGGCAGTTATGATGGCAGCGGTAATTCCAAAATCTTTTTTTTTTTTTTTTTCTGAATGAAGTCATGGTGTGAGGAGCATACGGGTGACAATCGCATATTTAAATTGACTGGCATTCCAACATTGGGTATAAAAGCAACTATCATTATCACAATAAGTTGGCTCTGCTCTGCTTACAATAAACAGAAAAGGAGGATAAACACAAACAGGGGTGGAATTATAAGTAATATTATGAGCTGCTCTGGCTCCTTCACTCGAACAGCCTGTTTGTGTTGAAAATACGGCAGCAACTCCTTCTGGGGTCATGACTGTTTGGAGTTGAGGGGACTTAGGGCTGCCAGGCCCCCATGGGCGAGAAGTGCTCCAGGTAAACTGGCTAACACCATGAACCCCTCCCCCAATCATAATCATGGGTTCCAAATTCATGCAGCTACCATTAATTCCACACAGTAGCCAATTATCAAAAGGATTAGACACATAGCTTTGAAAAGGATTTTGATCACTAAAATTAGACCCTGGAAAACTTTTATTAAACCCGGTGCTAATCCCGGGGGAAAAGGAAAAACGTTGCGCTTTATCGACCCACGTTACCGTGTGGGACTGACAACCAGTCCAAGGCCAGATTTCTCCCCGATTTACTCCCCAGCAATAGGGAGCCCTCTTCGGTTGGCGTGGAGGAATACTATCGCTCATTTTAGCAGGCCACCATCCTGATACCCAGGTGGCATTCGATGAATGACAGGGGCCACCGGAATCCGGGGGTAAGTCAAACCAACCAGCTGTTTGGTTATACAAGGGAATGCAGGAAGATGCTTCAGAAATATTATGGACTATATAAAAACATAAGGTCCCTTCTAAGTTAAAGGATCTATTTTCTCCTATGGGGGCTAAATCCGCTTCTAATGGCAAATAGAGAACATCAAGACTTCTATTACTACTAAACAGAAGGGGAAACAACTTAGCATCATGACGAATTGGCATTGGTCGTGGAAACACGGAAAGAATCCCCCATCTCAGCTCCGTCTGCCCGTTCAGGATCATCAGTAGGATGAGCCATAGTATAATCAGCGCCAGTCTCCTGATCCTCATTGTTCTGCACTCGCCTGATAGGTCGTTCAGGGATCCACACGGGGTCCTGCCGGTCCTGGGGAAAAACACAAACAGAACCTCGTGCCCATGTCAGCACGGGATCAGTCCCGTGCCAGAGCCCTGTTAAGATATCTTTCCATTTTACCATCCCTTGTATAGGACTATGAGGGTCCTGCTGTCTATCAGCTGCAGAGCGACCATGAGCATCCAAATTTAAAAAATTAATGGTAGATAAAGCAAGGGAGAGTCTCTCCTTTGGGGTATGGCCGTGGCCTATTCCCCCTTTTTGTTTTAGCAGACACTCCTTGAGTGTACGATGAGCATGCTCCACAATGCCTTGACCTTGAGGATTATAAGGTAGGCCGTGAATAAGCTGCACCTCCATTTGGCGGCAAAAGGAGGAGAAACTTTGACCTGTGTAAGCAGGTCCATTATCAGTTTTTAATTGGGAAGGTTTGCCCCAAGCTGCCCATGCCTCTAGGCCGCGGGTAATCACATTACTGTGCCTTTTCTCCTGTGAGAGGCGTGGCATGTATCACACCCGAGCAGGTATCCACTGAAACATGCACGTATTTAAGGTTGTCAAATTTAGAAATATGTGTTACATCCATTTGCCAGATCTTAAGAGGTAGAAGACCTCAGGGATTTACCCCGATGCTAGGTGAACGCAAATGAATCACACATTGAGGGCAGTCGAAAACCACTTGTCAAGCATCTGCTCGAGAAAGACAAAATTTTTGTTGTAAAGCTTTTGCATTAACTTGAAAAGTCCTGTGAAAAGCTTTTGCTTTCTCCAGAGTGGAACTCAGGAATATACATTCCTTCCTAGTCCACAGGTCCACTACATTGTTCCCCTCATACAGGGGACCTGGTAGACCTGTATGAGCTCTAATATGTTGAACGTAAAAACAATTTTTTCTTTGCCAAATTAGATCCTGCAATTGTTGAAACAGAAGGCAGACTGCACTGGAGCTTTTGATAGGACCAGCTACTTCTAGAATCTTGAGGGCATTTACCACGTAAGCAGAATCTGATATTAAATTAGAGGCAGGGGTGGTTCAACATATGAGAATATATCAATGTAATCCATCATATAAATAAACTGAAAAAAAACATATGATCGTCTAATTAAATGCTGAAAAAGCATTTGACAAAATTCAACACCCCTTTATGATAAAGGTCTTGGAGAGATTAGGGATACAAGGGTCATACCTAAATATAATAAAAGCTATTTACAGCAAGCCAACAGCTAACATCAAATTAAAGAGAGAGAAACTCAAAGCCATCCCACTCAAATCAGGAACACGACAAGGCTGTCCACTCTCTCCATACCTCTTCAATATAGTGCTTGAAGTTCTAGCAATAGCCATAAGACAACATGAGGGGATCAAGGGGATTCGACAACAAGAGGAGATCAAGGGGATTCGAATTGGAAAGGAATAAGTTAAACTTTCATTATTTGCAGATGATATGATAGTGTACATAAGCGACCCCAAAAACTCCACCAAAGAACTCCTACAGCTTACAAACACCTCTAGTAACATGGCAGGATAAAAGATCAACTTCAAAAAATCAGTTGCCCTCCTATACACAGAGGATAAGGAAGCAGAGAGGTGAATCAGAGAAGCATCACCTTTGACAATAGCCACAAAGAGCATAAAATATCTTGGAGTAACTCTAACCAAGGAAGAGAAGGATCTATTTGACAAGAACTTTAAGTCTTTGAAGAAAGAAATTGAAGAGGATACCAGAAAATGGAAGGATCTCCCTTGCTCTTGGATTGGGAAGACTAACATAATAAAAATGGCAATTCTACCAAAGGCAATTTATAGATTCAATGCAATCCCATCAAGGTCCCATAAAATTCTTCACAGATCTTGAGAGGACAATAATCAACTTTATACAGAAAAACAATCTTATACAATAAAGGAACTTCTGGAGGCATTACCATCCCTGACTTAAAACTCTATTACAGAGGTACAGTATTGAAAACAGCGTGGTATTGGCATAACAACAGAGAATTCGACCAATGGAATCGAATAGAAGACCCGGATTTTAACCTATATCCTATGAACACCTGATTTTCGATAAAGGAGCTAAAAGTATACAACGGAAGAAAGAAAGCATCTTCAACAAATGGTGCTGGCACAACTGGATGTCAACCTGTAGTATAATTAAATTAGATCCATATCTATCACCATGTACAAATCTCAAGTCCAAATGGATCAAAGACCTCAATATCAATCTGAACACACTGAACCTGATAGAAGAAAAAGTGGGAAGTACTCTACAACATATGGGCACAGGAGATCACTTCCTATATATAACCCCAGCAGCACAGACATTAAGGGCAACATTGAATAAATGGGACCTCCTGAAACTGAGAAGCTTCTGTAAAGCAAAGGGCACTAGCACTTAGACAAAAAGGCAACCTACTGACTGGGAGAAGATCTTCATGAACCCTGCAACAGGCAAAGGTCTGATCTCCAAAATATATAGAGAACTCAGGAAACTAGATTTTAAAATGCTAATTTACCCAGTTAAAAAATGGGGCACTGAACTAAACAGAGAATTCTCAACAGAAGAAGTTCAAATGGCCAAAAGACACTTAAGGTCATGTTCAACCTCCTTAGTGATCAGGGAAATGCAAATCAAAACAACTTTGAGATATCATCTTACACCTGTCAGATTGGCTAAAATCAAAAATACCAATGACAGCCTTTGCTGGAGAGGCTGTGGAATAAGGTGTATACTCATCCATTGCTGGTGGGAATGCAAACTTGTGCAACCACGTTGGAAATCAGTATGGTGCTTAATCAGGATATTCGGGATCAACCTACACCAGGACCCAGCAATACCACTCTTGGGAATATACCTAAGAAATGCCCTATCATATTACAAAAACTTTTGTTCAACTATTTTCATAGCAGCATTATTTGTAATAGCCAGAACCTGGAGACAACCTAGATGCCCTTCAATGAAAGAATGGATATAGAAAGTATGGAATATATACATATTAAAGTACTACTCAGCGGTAAAAAAACATCTTGAATTTTGCATGCAAATGGATGGAATTAGAAAACATTATCCTGAGTGAGGTAACCCAGACCCAAAAAGATGAATATGGGATGTACTCACTCATAATTGGTTTCTAGGCATAAATAAAGGACATTGAGCCTATAATTTGTGATCCTAGAAAAGCTAAATAAGAAGGTGAACCCAAAGATAAACATGTAGTTATTCTCCCGGATATTGGAAGTAGACAGGATTGCTGGGCGTAAATTGGGATCTTGGGGGTGGGGTGGGATGGTGGTAAGGAAAGATGGGGAGAGAAAAGTGAGAAGGGGAGGAGGGGGACTTGGGGGAATGGGATAGTTGGGATAAAGAAAGGGTGGATATGGGAGCAAGGAAGTATATATCCTAATTAAGGGAGCCATCTTAGGGTTGGCAAGAGACTTGACCCTAGAGGGGCTCCCAGGTGTCCAGGCAGATGTCCCCAGTTAGTTCCCTGGGCAGCTGAGAAGACAGAACCTGAAGTGGCCCTATCTTATAGCCATACTGATGAATATCTTGCATATCACCATAGAACCTTCATCTGGCGATAGATGGAGATAGAGACAGAGACCCACACTGGAGTACTGGACTGAGCTCCCAAGGTCCAAATGAGGAGCAGAAGGAGGGAGAACATGAGCAAGGAAGTCAGGACCACAAAAGGTGTGTCTACCCACTGAGATGGTGGGGCTGATCTATTGGGAGCTCACCAAGGCCAGCTGGACTGGGACTGAAAAAGCATGGGATAAAACTGGACTCTCTGAACATGGTGGACAATGAGGGCTGCTGAGAAGCCAAGGACAATGGCACTGGGTTTTGATCCTACTGCACGTACTGGCTTTGTGGGAGCCAAACCAGCTTGGATGCTCACCTTCCTAAACCTGGATGGAGGGGGGAGGACCTTGGACTTCCCACAGGGCAAGGAACCCTGACTGCTTTTCTGAGTGGGGAAGGGGGAGAGGATGGGGGAAGGTGAGGGAAATGGGAGGCTGGGAGGTGGTGGAAATTTTTTTCAGTTAAAAAAAATTTAAAAAATTAAAAAAAAAGTAATCCATGAAACGGTTATACCATCAAACATGGCAGCTCATGTGTTCCTCTCTTGCAGCTCACACAGCAGTGTAGAGAATAAATAAGTGACTGTAGTGTGATTATATAAGTGACCACCAGTATCATCCTGTCTGCCACCCAACACCTATCACATTGCAACCAATGCTCATAGAACAGAGAGAAGTGTCAGAAAGTTTCTAAGAGCCAGAGGTCAGGGAGGACTACTGTAAGGCGGTGCCTTCTGTCCATGACAGGGCCACTGTAATCATGAATTTAAAGCAGGTTTTGTTACCTGTACAAGACATGTACCATCAATCCAGTCAATATTTCAGCACAGATCTGGCAGGGGCACATACATTACAACCCATACCTGAAGAGCTTTGCAATTGAAAGTCACTTGGAGCAGGAGAGTCATTTTTCATCAGGGAAATGGTCCCTGGTAGATTGCCCATGCTCCAAAATATGACCCTGAAGCTATACACGTATAAACAGCACTAATGGATGCCCATAGATCAAGAAAAAGTTTAAAAAAATAAAGTTAGGAAGCTGCCTGTGCATAGTCCCGCAGCTAGGTAACAGTGATCTCAATGGCATGCAGGAAGCAGGGTGAGTCAGCAGGCCATATCCTGTGGGTCATAGCTTCAGGGAGAGGTTTAATCTGTGCTTCAGATCCAGAGAAGCGATTGCAGTGTGGTGTGGAGGGCCTTTAATTAAAATAGTTTTTAAAATTGTAGACTTTCTAAGACATTCGGTGCTAGATATTTACAAAAGGCAAAAATTCCATCTATCAGATGTGAATAGAGAAGGGTTCATTGACCTCAATGGATAGAGAATGAAAGGTCTGTTTCCTTAGAACAAACTCACTTAAAACTGAGAGGAGAAGAAAAACCCAAAAAGCAACAAATATCTATTTTTGTGAGGAAGGTGAGAAGAAGAGGAAGAGGGAGGAAGAGAGAGAGAGAGAGAGAGAGAGAGAGAGAGAGAGAGAATCTGAACCTGAAATAGAGATCATTTATGAACTTTTAACCTAGAGGAATCTTCAGGCATCACACACCAGGATCATTTTCCCCCATTACCACCCCCAGATTCTAGGGCTTCCAGCTAAAATGCACTTAAATTCCTTGTGGGCTTGGCTATAATAAGGAGCTCTTACCCTTTAGATGCAGCAGGTAGGCTTCTTCCCAGAAAGCCATACAGGGTCTTCACCTACTTCCTCAAGTCCCCTCTACTTATAGCAGCTGTAAAAGAAAAAAATTAAAGGCAGCCAGAAAGACCCGCCCCCTTCTAGGGACCAGTTGTAAAGTTACTATTGTATCAGGAAGGGATGGACTGAAAATTCTCAATGAAGTAATGAATTTCTGCTTCTGTGTTGATGGAAGGATAAAGGTTTTATTTAAAATTCAGATCAATTTCTCTTTTGTTCCCTCTGCAGGGTCTACCCAGATAAATAAATGAAGAAAGTCAGAGGCAGTGAATTTGTTTTTTTGAAATCGATTACTACAACTGTACTATCTGAAAATGATATAAAATGCTATGCAGGTTTGTAACAAGCTCACTCAGAAATAGCATCCTCATTGCTAAACCTGATTTTTGTTCTTGTGTCTATACAATTAGGGTAAAGTTATAATTACCTCCTGGACTGTTTTAAGTTATAATAGATTAAAATGGATATGAAGCTTACACACACATGCGCAAATATATAGTGCAGCTCAGTGTGAATATAGATTCTCTTTTATAAGCAATGGAACTGTTTTTCTGTGTCAGTCTGATTGTAAAGAGAATGACTCTGTGTAGCAGTCTTACCCTGTGCTGTTCCTTCTCGTCACTCTAACTGATCTCTGTTGTCTGCACTATCTGGGTACTAAAGTCAGATGGTAGCAAGGCTGGCAGAGCTCATACTCTGGTTTGGTGGAATCAAAGTTTAGAACTTGAAGTTGGCTGCAGAACAGATATGAAGGTTTGCTTGGAACCCAGAGAATCAGGGAGCACATCTAGGATTCTAGTTAGGGATAATGACATAAAATAAAAGTCTACATGAAATTATGTGAATTTTCACATTGATTCATGTGTTTATTTTTGTTAATCTTATTTATGGTGTTCACTGTGAAAAAAAGTTTACTCTTCTCCTATAAAATACTTGATAAATTAAATAACCAAGGATTTCGTGGAGAAACATGTAATTCATTCTTTGGCAATGTATTTGGCAGTGAAATTGGATAGAAAAGAACATGCTCTTGGTTTCTTAACCATGGTCCTCTTCCAAGAAGCAGCAATTATTTAATTATTTACAGAGAAGCTAATGGTATTCACTATATCAACCACTTAACTTCAGCTCTTGGTGCAATCAAAAGACACAGTAACACAAGGGGAATCAACCAGTGTTGGATAATCTTTTTCTCATTTAAAGTATTTCTTCTTCTAGACATGCTTCATAGTTAGAGCAATTTCACGATGGATATGCAGCGGATCTCTGGCTGTAGCTCTCTCCTCAGAGGGAACACATGCTATATGTAGTACTCATGTATGGGGTATTAGTCATGTAGGTACTAGAGGCAAATTACTTTTACATAAATCTTCAGTTTTTTGAATAATTTTTTAATGTGTTATAAATCATTAATTTTTAAAGATTATTAGTTCATAGATATTGCTTTTTGATGGACATATATGTTTTGAACATGAAAATGGCTACACTAAATCCTTGTTCATGATATTGTACAGCTTTTTATTCATTGTTCAAATCTTAAGTTTTCTTTAAAAAGCTTTAATTGACACAAATCAGAACTGGCATTGTTACAGTTGTATTCCTGAAGACCTGCCCAATCAAGACACATATTCCATTTTATAGTTGGTCTTACTGGTGTCTACATTTTTAATATTCTAAAGAATGATGATTCTATACTATTAATATCCACAGCAACATTTTTACTGAAATCAGCATTAAATATTTTAGTATTGGTTAATGTTTATAACAAATAATACCTTTTTATCATCATATACATATTCATTGTTACTTTTCATATCTTTCAAATTAACCTCTAGAATTGTCTAGCCCAAGTAACTCACAGAATGCTTTGATTCAAGGCAAGAAGAAACACAAATTACCATGGATTTCTAAAGCTATGGCTGACTAGTTAAGATTCTCCCTAAGTTCACATATTTTTGAGGCATTATTTTCTATTTTCAAATACAATGAAATACTGTATCATGTATCTGCAAACGACTTAGGAAATTTTTTTTCAAGATAATATGCTACTGTCCATTTGTTTAATACTCTAGAATAAATGTGAAGAAACAAATGTTCTTGATTGATATTATCATTCCCGTGTCAATTTTGAATTGTCACCACATTTTTAATAACTGGCATAATTTTCTTTTATATAAAGAAAATCTTCTAATTTCAAACAAAGTGAATGAAACTGAGTGAATTTTGAGTTTAAAAAAGGCAGTCCCAAATGTATAAATCCCAAATGAGTCTACTTAATAGAATAGAAAATATTTAAAAGAGTTAAATTCATAGAAGAAAAAAAAGCAAATCAGCAATGGTTATTAGAGACAAAGTGGAGCTCTTCAATTGGTACACATCTTTAGCAAAGTAAGCAAGGAATATATTCTGTACATTATAGTTCATATAAGTGCATATAAGGAAAGATGTGATACTGCTCACTAAAAGCTTCAGAAGGCAGATCTCATGTTAAATATTCTGTTAAGAAAACAAAGGGACATAAGAAAAACTTGAGAAGTGATACATGTACTAACTATCTTAATCTTGATGGTATTGTCATGAGTGTTTATATTTCCAAACTGTTCAAATTACATTTAATTAAATATATGGAACTCACCTTACAGCTATTGTACTTCCATAAAAAGCATCAACAACGAAAAATTTCATTCTGTAATCATTTTGGTATTTTACTGATGACTTGTCATCTCTAGTGTGCAATAGACAAAGCTCAGACAGCTGATAGGAGAAAGGTTGCTTGGAATTCTAGAAATAGGTCAAAGGCATGGAAAGGCAAAGGTGGCTAGAACAGGAAGCAGTAGTATTTCAATGTATTTGTCAGAATCAGACTTCAGGAGATGACATTGGTCATGTAAGGTAGGTCAGGGCTTCACCAGTGTTGGCAAAGCCACAATGACTAAGCAAGAGAAAAGAGCTTTACTGATGCCTATATGTTTTTCTTTGGGTTCACCTTCTTATTTAGCTTCTCTAGGATCACGAATTACAGGCTCAATGTCCTTTATTTAATGCTAGAAATCAAATATGCGTGAGTACATCCCATGTTCCTCTTTTTGGGTCTGGCTTAACTCACTCAGGAGAGTGTTTTGTATTACCATGCCTTTGCATGCAAAATTCAAGAAGTCATTGCTTTTTACTGCTGAGTAGTACTCTAATATGTATATATTCCATACTTTCTTCATCCATTCTTCCTTTGAAGGGCATCTAGGTTGTTTCCAGGTTCTGGCGATTACAAACAATGCTGCTATGAACATAGTTGAGCATATGAATATTAACCTTCATCAGGCGATGAAAGGAGACAGAGACAGAGCCCTACATTTGAGCACCAGACTAAAATCTGAAGGTCCAAAATCAGGAGCAGAAGGAGAGAGAGCATGAGCAAGGAACTCAGGACCACGAGGGGTGCACCCACACACTGAGACAATGGGGATTTTCTATTGGGAAGACACCAAGGCCAGCTGGCCCGGGTATGAAATAGCATGGGATAAAAACAGACTCGCTGAACATAGCAGACTATGAGGACTACTGAGAACTCAAGAACAATGGCAATGGGTTTTTGATTTTACTGCACATACACGCTTTGTGGGAGCCTAGGCAGTTTGGATGCTCACCTTACTAGACCTGGATGGAGGTGGGTGGTCCTTGGACTTCCCACAGGGCAGGGAACCCTGATTGTTCTTTGGGCTGACTAGAGAGGGGGACTTGATTGGGGGAGGGGGAGGGAGAAGGAAAAGAGCTGCAGTGGCAGGGAGAATGCAGAAATCTTAAAGAAAGAAAGAAAGAAAGAAAGAAAGAAAGAAAGAAAGAAAGAGATAGCTTTACTGATAAGAACCAGTGTTTCTTGATACAGCCAGTGATATAAAAGAAAAGCAGAGAAAATGGTCACCTGGCCAGTAAAGAGTAAAAAATACTAGAGGGTATGTATATTAGGTTTTTTTAAATGTAAGTATAAGAATTCTAGGAAATTTATAAGGATCAGACATTGTTTAGCTAAGTCTTTGAAGGCAGGAGCATCTAAGATAAAAAGTTCACATATAATATGAGCTTTTTACCATAATTGAAACTAATGGGAAAATTGTTACATCACTGGAGATGGAAGATAACAGAATGTATCCTTAGTCTGGGAATACACAAATAATAACTAGTGTCATAACTACACCATTCCACTGCTCTCATGACCATTGTGCTTCAAAGATTCCATACCTCATTATTCTTGTGTTAAAGATGTGATTTCCAACACATGAAATTCTTGGGATGTATCTTATCCACAGCAATATGGAAGCTCAGTTTCGTTAATTGGAGTAAAATAAGGATTACATTTAGACAATAAGGAATGTTTTCTATAAAATAATCAGTAAAATTGTCAGTTTTGAGGCCAGAAACTTCTGCCTCAATCTGCTTATCAATATCTAGACATTCTTTAAGCTTCTTTAGTAAGGTATACAACTGACCGAGGATTAAGGATGGTTGCCCTGAGTAGAATTAGAAGAATTCAGAATTAGAAGAAAACAGATGTCATTCAGGAAGTCTGTAAAGACCTAATTTGAGTGTCTTTTCAATTTATGGATGATGTCTTTTAAAATACAGTTTTTACTATAATATTTAAAATAATTTCGAAGAATTTTATCTTTGAAAACAATTTATTGATTATATTCAGCTCTGAAGACTCCCTCTACTTCTGTCCAAATAAACTTCCTACCGAATCTTTTACTCCTTCCAACTTAGTGTCCTCTTTATAATGTTTTGTATATTCCACTGAGTTTAATTTGTGTTGACAATAAACCCACGGGTGTGTGTTCATACACTGGAACTTGATCAATTTTCCAATGTCCATACCCGTAAAGAAAACTAACTCTACCTTTACCAGAAGCTCTTAACTGTCTACAGTTCCTCAGTTATGAGTCAGGGCTCATGATCTCTTCCCTCATCCTTCTGAAATGTTCACTGATTTG